AAAAAAAAAAAAATAAAGATGAGGAAACTGAGACCCAGAGAGGTTCAAGGTCACAAAGCCACTGGGTATAGAATTCAAATAGGACCCAGGGCCTCTGGTAGAAGTCCTCCTCTGTTTACTGAAGAATTTGTCGTCTCCCTCATCTACCTGCTTCAGGGACCTGACTCCACAAAGCCCTTGACTTGGACTGACCTGAGCACCAGTCCTCACTCTGAGGCCAACTTGCTGGTGCTGTAACTCTTTGGTTCTCGATGAGAATCTTGTGAAAGGGCAGGCATGGGGAACATAATAAGGTCTGTATTACCCATGTCACAAATTTTGTTGTTAATAAGGGATAAATAAAATGTCAAATGGGAAAGTAAGGCAAAATGCATTAATTAAGAGAAAATCTGATATACGTATAAAGCCTGATTATTATTTGGCAATAAGATGAGTTGTTCAGTTTTATTTCTTCCTGCTACAGACACTGGAGGCAGCCAATCAGGCCAGGCCAGAGATGCAAGAGATGAGGGCTCATTAGCATGGAAATCCCACAGAGAAACTCAGTGCTCCCTAGAAGTCTGCAGAAAGTGTGTGTGCATGTATATGTGTGTGTGTGTATATATGTACATATTTGTATGTATGCACATGTATGTGCTCATCTGGATCTGTATCTTGGGTAGACGTGTTGACGGGGGGGAAGACATGACCCCTTTCTGCATTTTGGCTGATCGAGGAAAAGAGAGTGACAGGAATGGATGGAGGCCCACCTGTCAGTCACATTGAGAAGAGGCAGCACCGTCCACTGCCACAGGCTCAAGCCTTCATTGGTGGCAACATGCCAGACCATTCTGCTTTGTTCCTTCCCAGTTTTGTTCTCCACCAGCACCAAGGAGACATTTCCCCGCAAGACTCCACGGATGAGCCAGGACATTCGGAGCTGCAAGGGAGAGAAGAGCCAGAGGACAGGTGTTAATGTTAAAAGGAAGCCTCAGGTCCCCTTCCTGGAATTCTCAAAGATATTGTTGGAGACTCAGCCAAGGGTGCCCAGGAAGGAAAGCTGGTGGCTGCCTGATCTTGCTCAGTCTCCCAAAATGGCTTTCATGAAGGTTTAAGGAGCTGGGCAGGGACAACGATGGACAATTTTGGAATTTTTTTCAGGTTGATCCTAAGTTTCACCAGATTCTGTGTCTGAGGTGATATTGAGATCCATGGGATAGTAAATGAACTTCTTAAAGGGGATCCAACGATTCTTGTCTGTGGCCCCAATTCACTTTGTGATCTTGGACAAGTGATTTTATGACTCAATTTCTTTAATGCCTTAGGTATCACAGATTTTTATTCTCCCCTCCCCAGACTCTAATAATCTTATCTGAATGATACTATACCTTGTGTTAGCTAACTGGAGACTCTATGACTTGATACCTGTGGGCACTTGTAGGCAAAGTTGAGACAAAAATCTCGTATTGAGATACTTCCATATACTTGTCTTTCAGACAAGTATACTTGTCATCCATTTTGACAAAAGGAAGCTACAATCATATGTTTTCATTGTGTCTTGATTAAAGGTTCCTATGGCATTGTTCCCTAGACATATGAAAGGGACTGTAGCTAATATTTCTTTTTTTAAAAAATTTTTTATTGCTATGTTAATCACCATACATTACATCATTAGTTTTTGATGTAGTGTTCCATGATTCATTGTTTGTGCATAACACCCAGTGCTCCATGCAGAACGTGCCCTCTTGTAGCTAATATTTCTAAAAGAGTTTAAGGGCAGTCATGCCCTGAGTCAGTATATACTATAACGAGGTCTCTGATCTTTGTGTTTTATAGAAACAATCTATAAACAACATTTAAAACTTAGGACAACCAGAGCATATAATTGTCCCAAATATTCCCGTTCAGATCCTGTAATTAAAAAAATGGCTATTGTAGAATAGAAGGTAAAATATATCCTCTGGAAAACAAGAGTTTTCATCCGCTATGGTGCCCCCTTTTCTTTGTTTCTCATTGTTTGAAGACATGCTTTTCTGTAAATGACCATTCCTTTTTCTCCCAGTCCCTGAGCTCAAGGTTGCCTCACAATTTGATCAAAGAGGTCACATACCATGAACTTTCCACTTTGTTGCACATGACCTCTTCACTAACGAGGTCACACCTGGCACTGGGATGCCCAAGTGCCATTCTACTTCTGAGAGCCTGAGTCAGGTAAGCCTGGTCTATAGCTATACTTCTTCCCTTATACCTTCCCCTTTCCCAAATCCAGTGTAGCAAAAGTACTTGTCACCAATGAGCACTCCCTGGATAACTTAACAAATCTGTTAATTGTTTTTCCTGACCTCACTTGCTTCCTTGTGCAGTCTGGATGCCATGACTAGAAATTTTAATCCTACCATTGTCAACTAACCTCTCTCAGCCCTTAGCCCATGCCCTGCAGTGCCTAGCTTGGGATATTGCTTGCCACATCCTTTCTCTCCTTTTGCTCCTTGGCCACAGAATATTGCTGATTTGGACTTCTGTGAAATCAGAATGTTGAACCTCAATGCCCTGGATGGTTGGTGGTACTTATTCATCCACTGTTGATTTCCATAGTTGATTTCTGAACACCCACAGCACAATGGGTGTTCCAAACTCTTCCTCAAACACTAATGCTGTTACCTCTTGGTACCTAACTCTCTTGATCATTATTTTGATTCTTACTTTACTGATAAAGATTTACTATACTAGGTGAAATCTCCTTCAGCCTCTCTGCTTTCCTCCCTTCCTTCCTTTCTTTTTCTTCCTCCCCCTCTCCCTCCTCTTCCTCCCCCTTCTCCTCTCCCTCTTTCTTCTTCTTCTTCCTCCTCCTCTCCCCCTCCACCTCATCCTTCTTCTTTACATAGGTGTTTATTTATGCACCTTCTTTCTTCTTTTCCTGTCTTAGAGGAAGATGCATCCTTCATTTTCTTCTATGCTAATCCCTCATGTTTTACCACCCCCCCTAGTCCTTGTTCTCTCAGAAACTTTCAGCACCTTCAGACTCTTTCTGCCTTCTGGGTCTCCTGTCTACAAATAAGATCGGCTTTCACCTGTGCCAGAAAAATATCCTTTATTTGATCCTGCTAGCCGCTCTGACTTGCAACCTATTTCTGTACCTCCATTCAGATGTTAACATCGTGGATAACTGGCATGTAACTGCTTTTATTTCCTTGTTGCCCATTCTTTCTTTAAATTCTTTTAACCCGGCTTCTCTTCTCATTACTCTAACAAAGTAGCAGTCACAATGTCCTTTATAACTTACTCTTTCAACTCTCTCCATGGCCTCTTAAAGTGCCTCTCCCTCTCTACTTTCTCCCTTCTAAATTCTTTTGTGTATCTCGATCACATCTTCCTGTTTACCACTGCCATCTGTGACTCTTCAGTGGTTTCTCACTCCCTATCAATTAATATCAAAGCATTCGTGTTCCTCTGTAATCTAAGAAAATAAGCTTTTTAGGCATTCAATGAATATTTATTGAGTACTTATGCTGAGCCACATGTATCCTCCACCCTAGAATGGTCTAAGAGTTTGCATTAGAGAGATCTGGATTCAAAAACTGTTCTTGTCACTTTGGTCCTTTTGAAGCTCAGTTCTGTATTCTCTAATATGAGAATAGGTTTATCTACCTTATAGGATTATAGTGACAATTTAATAAGAGATAACAAATAGTGTAACAAAATGGTAAAAAAGGCATTTCGGCTGAAGCACTGACACAATAGATCCTACACTTCAAAAGGATGTCTGAGAGCACAGTGATACAGGACTTTCATGAGGGAGTGGATAAAAACAGGTTACACAGTTCGTAATCTCTCATCCATACTTTGGATTTTTAAAAAAGTTGGTGGTTGACTACTGGGAGAGAGTTTTTGGAATGTGCTTTTTGTATATCATGAGTTCCACCTCACTTTACTCTCCTGCAAAGAAGGTTCCCTCTTCATCCCAAGTCAAGAGAGAGAGAGCAGTTTTAATGATAGCCCCTTGAGCACCTGATATTAATCCCCTGCAGTTTGGGGAGCTCAATAGAATACTGTCTAGCTCCTACCTGGAAAATCCAAAGCATGAACAAGGGGCTGATTGGGTGCTCTAATGGCAGAACAAAGGCAAGGTGGAAGCACTGAATGGCCTGTACTCCCAGAGTCTGGCAGTATACAACACGCATGAGCATTATGCATAGACTACAGTGAGCCATGTACACGGGAGCCCATGTGGGTCATTTTAGATCTTGTCCAAGAGGGCTTCTTGAAGGGGTAAATAGAACTCAGAAGAAAGAAGCTGCAGGCATCTCAAGATGCCCAAGGACAGAGGAAAGAGTAAGTGATTACCTGGAATGATACATATACCCTAGTCAAGGTGAAAGATTCCTAGCCATAGTGGAGGGGGTGAGGAGAAAGGTAAATCTCCCAAGAAACCACCGAAGTGCCCCCCTGTGAAAACCAGTAAGCCTTGTCACATCCAGAGAATACCAGTGCCAGATCACTGCAACAGGTCTGGTCGAGTGAGATTTTCTTTTTCCCCTTAACCTCTTTTCTTTTCCCTGCACTTAAGACCTTGAAGGGTCACAGTTAAGCCAGAAGACTGAAAAGGAGGAGAGCTGAGTGAAGAAGAAGAGAGATCAATGATCCTTTCCCTGATCTCAGGCTTCTCCTCTGCAGTAGGGCCAAGCATGGCAAGGCAGGGGAGGAAAGAAGCCCTAACTTTATTTTTATTTTTTAAATAATTTTTAAAAGATCTTATTTATTTATTTGAGAGAGAGAGAGAGCAGAGCAGGGGTGAGGGACAGAGGGAGAAGGAGAAGCAGAATCCCTGCTGAGCAGGGAGCCCGATGCAGTGCTCGATCCCAGGCCCCTGGGATCATGACCTGAGCTGAAGGCAGACCTTTAACTGACTGAGCCACCCAAGTGCCCCAAGAAGCCCTAACTTTAAAGTGAGGTTGAAGTTCTGACCAGATGGGCATTTTGATTTCTAAATAAGCCTGCTTTGTGTTCTGCAGTGACTAAAAAACTGTATTACCTTAGAGCACCCAGACAAGTAGTTTTCACCCAGTAGTCCAAACGTGGGGGCCCAACAGATGTTAGTCCTTAGGCTCCCTCACGTCAGTCTACATACCAGCTCTGCACCTGACATGCATTTTTCTGCTTCTGTGCTTTTGATCCTTCCATTTCCTCTACCTCTTCTTTCCTTCTCATCACTTAAAAAAAATTCAATCTATTTAATTTTCAGGGAAACTTTTCTTATCATCTGTCTCAGAATGACTTTCCCCTCCTCTGAAATCTAACAGTTGAGGCTATTGGGATCATCATAGGACACAGCTCTGCTGCCTTGTCTTCCCTCCATCCTCCATGGACCACAAGTTCCTTCAAGGCAGGGACTGTCTTATCTTGTATTCACAGTCGTTGTCAAGTGAGGGCACACGGTAGGAGCTGATCAGTGTCAGAATATATAAAGATTTATACACTTCCAGGAAGAGCTTCCTGTCTTTACCCAGTCCCCTCTCAGGGACAGAAACCAACTTTGCACCTGTGAAGCTCCTTAGCACTTTCCTGCATTCTAGGGGTTGAGTTCTAGGGGGTGGGTTCCAGGGAAGGGAAGGGGATCCAGGCATCTTGCAGCTAACTTGGCTGTAGTTGAAATGGCCCAGTTCTCAGCTGTTCTTAGGAAACTTTCAGTCTGAAGTAGAGTCTGCCAGTGGCCTGAGCATGTCAGGGAGGTAGAGCTCTGTCATACTGACAGTGGGGCCATTGGCTTGCTGACTGTTGAGCTTTCTCCACCTGCCTGCACTGTATTTTAGGCCAATAGGGCCTGGAAAGTGAGAACAGTACTGGCTGCCAAGAGATGGCTTCCCTAGCTCTTGAGGAGGTCTACCAGGATCCCTCTTGGTATCAGTCTTTGAGATGATCATCCATTCATTC